GCCGGGGCCCAAGGGCAAGCAGTGCCGCGGGGCCTAGCTAACCTGTGGGCATTGCAGTGGGTGGCAAACCAACGGATGCCACACAGTGGCTGATATAGCGATATGTTCAGGAGTTTCTAATAGAACGTGTGAGTCGGGTGCCCCAGGAGAGGAGGATGCACTAGATTATTAGGCATGGAATAGTGCTCGACGCCCCATAGTGGCGTGGGTGGCACAACGCTCATTGTGTATGCCGGCCAGAAGTGGTGCATCAGAACAGGGCTTCTCGGTATTTAGCCGTACTGTGCAATTTTGGTGGGCATCTTTGGGGGACGAATGCATTGAGCAGCTGATGTTCTTGTCCGGCAACACCAACTTGTAAATTACAAATTGTAATTTCCCGGGTTCCATTGGCTTGTCTCGAAGTGGACTACGGGCATGTGTGTGACTCGTCTCAATTTTGGCTATATGTCCAGCTTATATATTGGGCAATGTGCATGTTGGTTTTGTTGCAAGCCAGGTGTTCTGTGCAAAATATATCTTTTGGGCCTGAATCCAGCCTTGTGATTACCTCCCAATCTTGCGTTGGTCCGCCAGTGGCCCCCCTTAACTCGTGAGACTTAGAATTTGCATGGTCCATTCCTGGGGAACGGATTGGAATGGACACGACCGGACAAGGACGGGGCCATTCCATATTATGAATGGATCTATTCCTGAGCCAGGACAGATTCGTTCCTAAGCCGGGATGGATCCATCCTTGAATAGGAATGGTTCTGTTCCAACATCGTCTTGCCTGACACAGATCTAGTCCAAATCCGTTCCTGGGGAACGGCCCAAGAACAGACTGGAACGGACAAGGACGGACTGGGACGTGAATGGGAATGGGTCCGTTCCTGGGATGGGAATGGACACCATCCCCATTCTCATTCCTACTCTATTTGGCCGGGCCCACCTCTGGGCCTCTCGGTCCCCTCTCGGGCTGCTTGGACTGTCATGCAATCTGCTCCTCTACCTTTTGCGCTCGTTCCTTTTGCTAGAGCAACCGGTCACTCAGGGCGGCTACGTGTTCCTCTGCGGAAGCGCGGGCGACATCAGCCTCTCGGCTCTTCTGCTTTGCTTGCTTCAAGGCCACTTCATATCGCCTGGCTTGTTTTCGTGCTGAGGCCGCAACAATCTCCAGCGGAGCAATCCGGGCTGTTGTGTCCCAATCGCAGGTCTCCTGTGCCTTGGCTACGGCTGATGCAACCAACTTCTCTAGGAGGGCCATTACTCCTGGGGCTTGTAATAAGGTGGCTGCCATGTTAGGATCTACCTCTTCTTCAATCGCCGTTGCTTCAATTTTGCCCATGGGCTGGTCTTGGGCTTCCACTAGTGCATAGCTTGCCGACATTCCCGGCCTGTCCTCCTGGATTGCTTTTCTTCTCGTCTCGCCCTCTTGAGTTGCATCCTCCCATTCACCAGCCCCAGTTGCCGGTTCCCCCTCTCGAGGTGCGGATTCGACTGTTTCCATGGTCTCGCCCTCTCGGGCTGCAGGCTCCGACTCCTCGGCCTCCATGGAGGAGGAGACCGGGGACAGTGTCGCCTGCCGCTATCCCAGTCTCCGATCGCAATCAAAGCATGTGGGCCACCTTTAGGCGGCTCCAAAACCAAATAATACGTGAGGATTGTTGGTGTGGGGCTCCTACCCTCTTTGGGCTATGGACCCGCCTCGCCGGGCACTTAGGTCCTTACGGGGACCTAGGCGGGACCACCCCGACCTACTCCCGTATCATATACTATCGTATAAACTGGTTGGGGTGTCATTACTATATCTTGGGTAAGGCGTCCCCCACACCAAAAGGCCAGTAGTGGGGCGTCCCCCACATCAGGCCAATGTGCATAACACAAGGACACTACGTTTGTGGACCGTGGGGCGCGCGACCCACGCGTCAAATCTGATCGCTGCATTCTTATTGGTACACGCATGAATTTGATGTTGTTATGTACTATGGGATGGACTTTGGACCGGGTTCTAGAATGGCCTAGAACAGCCTTTAGAATGGCCTAGAATAGACTCTAAACCGGTATGGAACATACTTTGGATGCCATGGGCAGTATAGGAACAGACTCCTAGGTAGGCTGTACTGCGCCGGAACGGAATTGGGATGGCTGCACACCATTCCAAATCCGTCTCGAGTCCGTTCCAGCCCAAGGACAGGCCGTTCTTGGGCATGCCAGCCCAAGGACGGGAACAAACTCTGGTCTGTCCCCATTCCCATTCCCGCCCCCATTCCGGGACGGCCCACCTCTGGTGGCGATCAATGTTGCAGCCCCACCTTGGACGCGTGGCTGCCCCTTCACTAGAGGTGGGCCCGGCTAGATGGGGTAGGGATGGGAATGGGGACGGTGTCCATTCCCATCCCAAGAATGGATCCGTTCCCGTTCCCATCCCAATCCGTTCCAGCCTATTCCTAGGCCATTCACAAGGAACAAATTTGGACCGGATTTGGGCCAAATAAGAATGGTATTGGAACGGATCTATTCCTATCCAGGGACGGATCCATTCCGACTCAAGAACGGATCTATTCCAGGCCAGGAATGGATCTATGCTTGGTAGGGAACGGCCCCGCCTTTGTCCGTTCCGGTCCATTCTAGTCCGTTCCCCAGGAACAGGCTATGCGAATTGGAATCCTTACAAGTCAAAGGGGGTAGAGTGGGGGCACTGGCGAACCAACGCATGTTTGGGAGGTATTCATAAGGCTGGATTCAAGTCCAAAACACACAATTCGCACAAAAAGCTTGGCTTGTAGTAAAGACAATATACACATTGCCCAATATATAGGCTGGACCCATAGCCAAAATTGAGACAAGTCACAAACATGCTCATAACCCAATCTAAGACAAGCCGAAGTCACCCCCCCAAATTACAAGTCAGTGTTGTTGGATAAGAACATGAGTTGCTTAATGTGTTTGTCCCCATGGGGCGCGGGACCTACACGTCAAGTCTGATCGCTGCATTCTTATTAGTGCATGCATAAATTTAATGTAATTATGTACTACAGGACGGACTCTAGGACGGCCTCCGGAATACCCTAGAATAGACTCTAGAATGGCCTGGAATGGACTCTCGACCGGCTTGGAACGGGCTCTGGAATACCATGGGCAATATAGAAATGAACTCCTAGGTAGACCATACTGTTCTGGAATGGAATTAGGATGGCTGCACACCGTTCAAGATCCATTCATGTCCGTTCCAGCCCAAGGACGGGCCATTCCTTGGCCATTCCTAGGCCTACCAGCTCAAGGATAGGAACGGATTCTAATCCATTCCCATTCCCAATCCCATCCCCGTTCTTAGTCCGTCCCCGTTCCGTGACGGCCCACCTCTGCCTTTATGTCACTTGGCTCCAGAAGATGAGATTTATTTCCTCTTTTATTGCCAAGCCTATGATGACATCTATCGATGCCACTCTTGTATTTTTCAATGTCAAAATGCAAAAACACTTTTTGCTTCAGCTCTTGCTTGCTGTCTAGCAAAGACGCTTCTCTTAATATATTATTATTGTCAATTACTTTTAGGATTTAGGAGTTAATAGACTCATGGCTTTTGTCTCTGTTTAATATTAGATTTCAACGAGCTGATCGCAAACTCTGCTTGCTCGGGCAAAATAGGAAGCTGACGGTTACCTCATTGCCTTGTTTTGTAGAAGCTGGTGATGATAATGAGGATACCAAAGACACAAACTTCTCTGTTATGAATACCACTCGTTTTCAAAGCCGTTGCGTATGTTCAGCTACCCTATGGTGTGGTCAATTGCAACATTGACTCCGTCTTTGCGTTCGACAGGTTGTCTTGAGACGATTTGAGTCAACTCGTTTAAGCAGCGCCCATCAACTGCATCAACATTTACCCCATTCTGGTAAACACATCGGAATCTGTCTGAACTAAAGAAACGTGTACATGTGGCACTTGTGCCCTGTGCCCCACTAAAGCCAGCCTGGCTGTATGCTACTTGGCACTTTTCGATCGTACTCCGCCACTGCGACAGGAACGGCATTACTACACCCTGGAGGCTTGCGCTCGACGCCATCTCAAGACCGCACAGGCGATCCGTCACAATACCCACACCGGACCAGAAGACCAAAGAGTATACACAGTGTGCGCAAATACGCTCAGGTTGGTCCCCGCCGATAGTTGAAAGATACGGGCGGTTTTGATGCTCAAGGCGCATCGAAGCTGTATCAAGGGCGCAAACGACAGAATAGAATGGCTTTGAGGTGCTTCTGTGCGTGGAGGCCAGGACTTGAGTTGCTGCTGTGATGTACGTTGGCGCCGCACAGCGAGTCTGTTTAGCGACGAATCAATGTAATGCAGGGCCTGGGTGCAGGGCGTTGGAGGCGGGAACTGTACTGACTGCAGTCATAGCAAGCTGCCGCGCGCTCCTAAGTGTGTTTTTGGGTGTCCAACACTGAGCGTGAGAAGATCTTGCCTCATCACCTCCCACAAAGACGGTGTTGTCCACACTCAGCGTCAATAAAGCGTTGTCAAAGTAACGTTGAAACAGTGCACAGTATGTAGCATGAGAAACATCACGTTAGAATAGCCTAGAGAGCCGCTGTTCTCGTCTGAAGAGAACTTACTACCTGCTGGGGGTGCCACTGCTGATGTAAAAGTTGCCAGACAGCTGCGTTGTACCCAGAAACTGCTGTCCATGGACCTACAAGCTACTCAATGCCTGTGTTCTGGAGGTCTCATGCCAAGAACTCAGATCATGAGGAATAGTAACAGGGGTGCATATCTCTATGTGATACCCCACAGTTTGGTATCCACAGGTTGGGGTATCCGAAGTTACCCATATGGCCTCTTTGCACAGCCTGGCCTTACAAAATGCATGCAGTTGTTCTTGTTTGTGAGCCAAAACAGTGGGGTCCAATGTATTGACTGCTGATGAGACTTAAACCCCTGGTAACCATGCAGTCTGACCAGCAGGTTGGCTTTTGTTGATTTGTGTCTGCCTTGCTGCTTTTCTTGCAGTGGGAAAATGATCACCACCTTGGAGGCAGTTGGGGCTGCTGCCATCTGCCTTGTTGGCCTTTCAGTTGTGTATGCCATCCTGGAGTTCTTGCTTGCCATGATCCCTGCTGTGGTCACGCTGGAGGGCAAGGCAGTTGTGGTGACAGGGTGTGACACAGGCATTGGCCGTGTGATAGCCCTTCACCTTGCCATGCAGCGAAAGGCCAAGGTTTTTGCAGGCTGCCTGACTGAGGAAGGCTCCGAGGAGCTGAGTGTGGAATCTAAGGGAAAGATCAGCACCTTCATCGTGGATGTGACAAGCGACAGGAGTGTGTCAGTGGCTCTCGACTTTGTGGCACGCCATCTGGAGGGTCGCCCACTGTTTGCTGTGATCAACAACGCGGGAGTTGGAAGGGGCTTTTTAGTGGAAGCCACAGGAATGGATGACTATTACAGCAACATCAATGTTAATTTCCTGGGATTGGTGCGGGTCACCAAGGCGTTCCTCCCCATGCTGGTGGTGGGGAAGGGTCGCATTGTCAACATCACAAGCTCAGCTACGCTGCTTGCTGGCCCCACCATGTCCCCCTATGCTGCATCAAAATACGCAGCAGCAGCCTTTAGTGACTCGATGCGTCGTGAGCTACATTGCCAGGGTGTAAAAGTTGTGCAAATCGCACCAGGGATCATAAACACAAGGATGCCCATTGCTGCGCAACAACAGATGAAGGAGCTGTTTCACAATATGGATGCTGAAGTGCAGGAGCGGTATGGCGGCACCAAATGGGTTGATCGGCTGGTGCAGCAGAATATTCGAGGGTTGAAGGCGATGAGCAAGGCAGAGATCGTATTGCCTTCAGTTTTGGCGGCATTGATGTCAAGGTACCCCAAGGCAAGGTACATATGTGGCATCGATTCTTATCTCTTGTGGAGGCCCTTGTCATTGATGCCCGTCTGTGTTACCGATGCTGTGCTCAATTGGATGATTATGTGAGGATGCTGCAGGGCAATCAACTATCTGTCCATCATTGTATCTGCTACAGAAGGACTGTCATTGCCTTGTGCAATTAGGCATCTATACTGCAGTTCTGCCAGAATATGTGGCCGATACTGTGGCTGCTGGGTTAGGGCATCCTTCAGCCTCAGGAAGGCACTGAAGACCTCAAGCATCCTGATGCTGGCTACTCAGCTGACACGATCAATGATGCGATGCTCATACCTCCTTCCCACTGGCTACTGGAATGGCATGTACATCGAGAAATATTGAGGCACATTGAATGGGCAAAGATCTTGGCCAGGATTGTGTGAGCTTGGTATATTTCAGAATATCTTGCATCCAAAAAGTGCGTGGGCAAATGTCCAAATCTTGTGTTACCACTTTGTTGTGTTTCTCGTGTACCATTGAACCACTTGATTGGCCATGGATGGCCACTACTAATGTTTCCTTTTACGCTTTGGAATCTCAGGAATTCTGTCTGTTGTCCTAAACTGCACTGGATAATCAAGACCAGATATGTAGTCTGTTCCTTAATTGGCACCAGGGGAATGCCATCTGGGCTTGGGAATTTCTGACCAGCCCCTGGCACATCACCCCGCCCATCACTGTCGCAAATCACGCCACCCCATCATTGCCGCAAAGCAGAACAGTCCACTGTCAGAAGAACGAATGGCTGCCTTCTGGGACGACTGTGGCTGTCAGCCGATTTGCTGCACCTGATCTGCAAAGGACGGTCTTCCAGCTCCGTTGTTGATTAACCCACCCGTCTGAAGACCTATTGTGGTGATAGCAATGTGTCTCGATGTGCCTCCGCCTCACCCTGGGCGAATAGGATGCTGCAGGATATCAAACACAAGATGGCCTCAGTAGCCAACATGAGTTGAGTCACAAAGGATGCAATGCTCGTGGGCACAAGATACAGTACAAGAGAATTGGTTCTTCTAAAAATATCAGTGAGTCCCCAGGAACTCAGGTCTGTTCTCAGAGCTAGCTTCCAGTTACAATGGAAATCTGAGATGATCATTGAAAAGAACGTCGTAATACCACTTCTCTTGGCAAGAGAACCAGTACTGCTGTGTTCGTTCATGAGAATCATGCAATGCATGATTCTCTGAGGCTAATTGACGCCTGACATTGACCTTCGCTGTGGTTCCATCATGGAACTTCCATGGTAGGACAGTCGCATTTGTAATATGTGTCTTTCCGTTATGTAACATCCATGTATGGTCTAAGAGAAAGACACACAATACAACTGTGCGTGTCCTACCGTGGAACAGCAACGAAAGCATCATGGAATGCATTCGCATCCATAAACACCAATAGCAACCATTACCATTAATCCTCATGGAAACATCTGATAAATCCAAAAGTAGCTCCTGAAAATTTTACACAAAAGATGTCTAGGGACCACGCCATATCAAATTTACTATGCTGACTGTCGAAGTGACTCTAAGGAGGGACCCCCCTTAACTCTTTGCGTCAGTCCTCACGTTGATGCCGACATCATTCAACAACTGTACCTAACTATGTGCGGCAATATTTCTTCCCAGAAAAGGGAGCGCCAGAACGTCGAGGATGAATCTATTATCTAAATGACCAGACTAATGCTCTCATTCTGTCGCCTCAACAGACATGGAGTAACGATTCATCCCTACAGCATGATTTGTCACCTACTGGAAGTCAATATGTGGCAATTTTGGGCACCCTATACTCTAGAAAGGTTCCTTTCTAGCCGCTGGATTTGTGCGCTTAGATTTCTTTCGTCCTTGTCTCTTATTTTGGTAAACATGTCAGAATGGTCAGCATCTACGTGAAAACTTGCCCAAAGGTTCTGTGATTGTGCTGAGCTCCAGTCGATTGCCACTGAGCATCAAAAAAGCCCAATGGTTGTTGATTGTGCACATCATTGCAGCGAATTTGACTTCGCCTGGAGTGGTGGCACCAATTGTTGGAGTCAATGTCAAACATCACTATGCAGCCTTGTTGTGCGTGCAAATATGCATTACTCACAGTGGGAGTGGCAGAGTATGAATCATGTCCAGAAGCAAAGAAGATGATGCAATGTCTGGCCTGGGCTTCAGACAAATGGAAAGTGGATGAGTGTTGTTGGGGCACCAATAAATGGAGCCAGTCTATCTGAATAGATGGCTGCCATGCCACATGAAATATTACGTGAATACTACCAAGCTGGTGCCCCGCGAGACCCAGGATTCCAGGTCAGTGTGGCCTTAGGCGACAGTTTGCAAACAAACCACAGGGAACCCACAGGGGCCATCAGGGCCTGGATGAACGCCGACAGGCAGACAACTGTCACATAATCCCGCCCAACTATTCACCCATTGCGCAGGAAGCACCCAGCAAGCACCATGGCCTGTGAGGCTTGCACCCGACGCCAGCCACCCGCATGCCCAACGACTGGCCGAGACACCATGCGCGTGCCAAGCGTCCGGCCCGAATGGACTAGGGGCACCTGCCGATGGGCCCCATGTTGAAAGATCGGAGCAATGCCATTTGATCGGGCAGTTCAACCCATGGGAACCCATGGGACTCCGCGGAGGGGGTCGCAGCCGCATGGCGGCGAAGACAATTTAAAGGGGATTCTTCAAAGGCAGCCAAGGGGATCTGGAGGCAAGGGGCAGAGTTCCCTTTCTGCCCAGGCAGCACACTTATGGAGGGGTGCTTGAGAGAGAGCACCCCCGAAGATGGATGCGGGAGCCGATGGCGAGGGCGGTCCGGAGGCGTTTCCGGAATGGGGGGGATCTTTCCAGGAAAAGCAAGAGGGCCATTCTACGGAGGAGGGCCTTGCGCCCAACCCTGCTGGGGGGGGTGCTCGCGGAAGCTGCCTCAAGGAAACGCGCCGACCCGATGGCGGGCCGGAGGGGGTGCAAGAGGGTGCGAGTGTGGAGAGTGAGGTGGTGGGGCAGGCCTATACTGCCGAGCGTTGACTCAACAGGGCGCCCCAGGGGATTTGCGATACGTACGTGTATCGGGTAGGAATCAGGCGCTGCCGTGTCGCCCTGTGTGCTAGGCTACTATGCGCAGCCTGGCACGTGGCGGTTTGACTACAATCAGGCCAGGGATGTGATTATGGTTTAGATGGGGTCATTATAAGGATCTGATAATACAGATCAGTTGCAAATTGAATTTGCAATTAAATGGTACAAAATTTATATTTTTCTAATAAGTTTCTGAAAATCTAGGGTCCTGAGAAGAACAAAATAAATAGACCCTAAGGAACAACCTTTGTTTCCGATAGGGTTTTGATGGTTTTTTAGACTAAAGCGCTAGTTGTTCCTGCAAAGAAACAATGGTTAAGGTATTTTAAGAATAGTGGAGACTGCTATCAGCCATAGCCTTGAAAATAGGGTAGTTTGTGATGAGATACGCGCGAAATCTGCGCCTGTCCTACCAGATCTTTGATAGCCATGCTGCCGTAGCTGTAGTGCCTTGAGTGGTATGGATTCGGTATCTTCTAGGTCAGCAGCAATAGTGTGATAGTGTTAGAGTTTAAGGAAACTTCAAGTGAGAAAATCTAAAGAGAATCAATGTTCAGTGTGTACATTATGGAGCATGGGGCGTGGCTGGACACTGGTGGCAGATTTGGCTGGATTCGGGCGGTCCACATGGGCAGGACAGTGATGTGACTTCAAGTGCTAGAAAGATTTGACGCATATAAGAAGAGAGAATATTCTGTGGTGTTAAGGAAATCTAAGGGGGTAATTATTTCCCGCTTAATTTCCATCATTACAGGAAGTGAAAGACCATTATTGAGGTCACCAGCGATTCTGGGATGCTTGAGCACTTGGGCCCCAAGGTTTCTAAGGGAAAGTCCCTAGTGCTGGACTTCCCCCTTTAATTGGAAGCCTTTGCCCCCTTATAGTATTGTGGGGGACCTTTTATTATGTTATTGGACTTAAAGGGGACGGTCCCCCTTGGCTCCGGTACGTGGGGGAGGACCTGGGGCTGAGTCATGCCCCGTTTTGATTATGTGGCCTCCGGGAAGTTTTTGGATGCTTGACGGGGTATAAAAAGGGCAACTATACGCCCTTTGTAACATTCGTTTCTTTTCTGACTGATCTTCAGTCGTGCCCACGAGAGGCGTGCCCCGCGGTACGCCAACCTTGTTGCATCCGCCCGCTGTACAGCCGCATCCGCCCAACGCGACCCGCGTCCCTGGGCCCACCGACGCGGAGTGAGCCAGCGAGCACCCCGACAGAGCGCCACCCGACCCGCACATTCCGGGCCGGGCGAGAGGGGGATTGACGCGCTGTGCGTCTCCCCACCGGGTGCCGCGAGAGCCGAGGACCGGCGGCATCGAGGCCGCGCGGAATCGGCGCATTGCGCGCCGTTGCATTTGGTTTCGGAGCCGAGTGACGAGCCGGACGAGCGGAAACGGGACAGCAAGGGCAAAGGAGTCGAAGGGACACCGATTGGAGCCCTCCGGACCACGGGCAAGCGGCGATTGGAGCTCGCCATCCCCGCCCATTACGATCCCCGAGGCCGGAATCGAGCCGTCCGGCCTCGGCGAGGCGAGTCCGCCCGCGCAGCAGTTGCCAGGGAGAGCGCGACCCGTGCCGCGCAGCGCGCCCCGGAGCGGAGCGCCGTTGACCGAGCGCGAGCCGGCCAGAGCGGCCGCAGCGCCTCCCCCCCCCCCGAGTCGGACATTGGGAGTGACGTGACAGCCGATTGGCGGCGGTACGGGTCGGGTGCCATGCCGCGCAGTGCGTCACGTGATTGACAGTTGCGTTGAGAGTGACGTGTGGCTGCGAGTGACGTGTGGCTTGCCGTGCGGAGTGCTGAGTGGATCGTGAGTGATCGGAGGCGTCCCCGTGAGGCGCCAGTGCGTGTCAGAGTACTGGGACCGTGGCTACAGGTGACGGTGCTACACCAAAGTACTGGGAGCACCGGGTGCCACCCCAAACTACTGGGAGCACCGAGAGGAGCCTTAACTACAGCCAGCGGGGTCTACAGCCTTAAGCACTGGGTGTTGCCTCAGTACTTAACGGGGACCTGAGCATAAAGTACTGCTGGGAGCTAAGTACTGGGATATCTGGCCAGTACTTTAAGTGATTCAGTACATTAACTGGACACTTAAGCGAGGTAATTGGCCAATAATTCCAGGCCAATTAGGCGACCAATTGGGACAATCAAACGCCCAATTGGGGAGGACCTGCCCTACCTCAGGCGACTACCCGACTCCAAGTTCAGTTTACTTCGAGACTACCACAAAGTACTGTCAGTACACCAAGTACTGTCAGTACATCAAGGCAAAGTACTACAGTACATTGACCTTAAGTACTGTAGTACATTA